GGTTGTAATGTGACAAAATATGGAAAAGTTCAAGGGGTATGAATACTTTTGCAAACCACTGTATCTTATTTAATAAAGTTTAACAGGATGACTCAGGCTCTTACACCTGTCAACTCAACCCAGTCATTTCTGCAGTTTTTGGGGAGGTCACCTCCTAATAAATGTCCTTACAGAAAATCTAACTGCTCATTTTAAATCTACACTTTGACTTTTAATACTTAACTACAACAAATATCACATACTTTAAGACTTTTAATACAACAGTCATTTCTGCAGTTTTTGGGGAGGTCACCTCCTAATAAATGTCCTTACAGAAAATCTAACTGCTCATTTTAAATCTACACTTTGACTTTTAATACTTAACTACAACAAATATCACATACTTTAACACTTTTAATACTTAACTACAACAAATATCACATACTTTAACACTTTTACTCAAGTTATATTCATAAAGGAGATTTTAACTTTTATCAAAGTAATATTTTGGTAAGATACTTGTACTTTTACTCAAGTATCACTTTGTAGTACTTTATACAAAACTGGTGTTAGGCATATAAAAACAAAACATGAAAATATAGTAATAAAACATAAAATAAAGTAGAAATAGAGTGAGGTAGAAACCAGATCAAGTTTGAGGTAGTTTAAATAAAAAGATTTGTAGTATATATATTTGTACAATATATAACAGTATGTGTGCAAAAACCATGAGCAGGTAGATGAGATCCAGTTCAGTTTATAACTCAGTTTTACACAAGCAGAGCTAAAAGCTGATGTTTTAACTGAGAGTGACTCAATACAGAAACTTACTGTCAAGTTTTGACCAAAACAGCTGCATCTTTGTCGTTTCTAATCCTAAAGTACTGTTAGTTTAAAACGAAGGCAGCAGCTGATCTGATTTGTTGAAACGAAGCGTTTGGAGACAAACGAAAACAAAGATACTGACTGCATGTGGTTTGGGATGACCGTGGACCTTCACCACGTGCATCGTCAGGTTCTTCTTGTACATGAACTGATCGCTGCAAGTCGAGCACTGAAAACAGAGAAGGAGCCGTGAGCAAGTGGATCAGAACCCGACCAACAGCCCGTGGTGCAGTCACCTTGTGGGGCATCTGTCCTGTGTGTGAGACCACGTGAGTCCTCAGCTCCTGCTTGGTGCTGAAGTTGGAGGAGCAGGTGGAGCAGGTCTGGAAGCACAGCAGAAGTTTCCTCTCAGTACAAACACCAGACACACTGATTCAGATGTTTCCTTCACTCACCAGAACTCTGCTGCAGTCCCTGCTCTGGTGAAACACCAGGTTATCCTTCCTGAAGTACCTCTTCCCACACTTCAGGCATCCAAAAGGTCTCTCTCCCGTGTGCCGCCTGCAGTAAGCACACATTTCATTTCATTTATTCATTTCATTTCATTAAAAATAAAATAAAAGAATAATAAAAATAAAATACCAAAAAAAACATACTAAAATGAAATAAAAGGCAGCAGAAAGAAGAAAAAAATCTTATATCTGTGCCTTTCCTC